AGCAGGTCAGCAATGCAGATAAGCCAGTTATATGATGCCTGTAAAAGAAATTCATATAGTTGAAAATTTAAAACATATTCAATATAAATGAGGGGCTTAAAAAGATAATTATGTGCATAGTTGCAATTCTTATAACAATTGAGATGTACACTTGTTTTTACTTGAAAATTATCATTGAGGTAAATGAAGCACTTCGTTGATAAAGCATTTTTTGATTGGCAACAGTATAAAAGATGTTGACCAGCAACGTATTTACATAATACACTGCAGGTTTAATTTACAAAATGGTTATTATCTTGGTGCATAAGCATGTAACATGCACTTGCCAATTTTTATCGAGAAATACAGCATTGTTACAGCCAAAAAAGTGTATAGTGATATGTCCTATAAAATCAAAATTGGCTCATTCTTTCATGGCTTTCTGAAATATTATCTTTATGCTGTTTTAATTATTGAAGCTTGAACAGGGAAAAAAACAGAAAACCAGACTATGTACTAGTTTTAATGATGTTCTTAAAGTGAAAGCAAAACTATTAAATAATTTTTTCATCTCTAGAAATTTACATAGTATATTCAGAATGATTGCATCATCCAATTCAAAAAGGGTAGCATTAACACAGAAAAAGGTAGAAAATCTACAATGTTTAACAATATTGTTCAAAGACACGTGTCATTAGAAATAACAATCTTAAATATGTACAAATCTACAGTGTTAAAACTTTACACCAAACATCCTTATTTTCTTTCTTTCCAATATAGGATTAGGGGCAGCCAGGTTGGAAAATATGACGTGTGATTTTGGCTATGTGTAGCTACGAGCAACAGCACACTACTAGCTGTGACATGCAAGCAAAGTCTTTTTAGGCAAAGCTGCAGGCTCACAAATACATGACTACAGTACAACATACATGACTTCAAGATTGCTATTGTGGGTCAGGTCAAAGGTGCAAGAAATCTAGGGTAGCTGCAGTAGGCCACAAGTTTTCCACCCTGGAAGGGCGTTAAAAATTCAAATCTGGAAATAATCATATTAAAACCCCTTTAAGGCAATGGAAGCTATATTTTTTGGCTTTCTCGCAATGGTTTGCGGTAACTAAGTAAATCAATCCCAAATAACTTGACTCAAACATATTGCATAAATGAAACAGATTTACTACTGTTCAGCTCAAAGGGGGCACTGGTTAGCTGCCAAAAATGTTCATTACTTTAGATCACTACTCTTTGTAATCCTTTTTGTCGACAAGATTTCTTTCAAACGTAATGAATCCATCAACTACTCCACCCTCCAGAGACTTTCTGACATTCTCATGAAATGATTCCAAGCAATTTGCATCTTCAGGGCAAAAATATGGGCTCAATGGGTCATCAAGATTCGGGTTTTTCAACAGAAAAAGCAGTCCATAAACGCAGTGCATCAAACAATTATATTCAGGGGACCAGTCCTCGAAAAGACTCAGACAAATTTCACCTGACTCATCAATATTTGGGTGGTATATATGAGTTAAACATCTGATGTCTGGACAAATAGTTGGATAACTACGCGTTACTTTGAATAAGAAATCGAATTTTCCAAACCGATATGGTCCGCTGTCCGGCACTATTTTAACCACAAATCTCAGTGCATTTACTTTGCCACTTTCGTCGATATCTGTGATTTTGCATTGTCCCTCGGTTAGAAATTCTACATTCTTAAGGAGGAAATGCAGTTCTTGCATAACACCTCTTCGGGACTTCATGGCGAACTTCTTTGGGTTGACAGGTAAATCAGATGTCGATTCCAGAAACTTAATTGGCAGTAAAGATGTAGGATGATTCTCGGCAGATTCGCCTTGAATTTATCGTTTATTTTTCTGCTACAAGAGCATCAACCAGGCTCATACAAAAAATTTCTATGCCCAATGGAACATCGGAGCAGAGTGTAACCAACAAAACTAACTTGAGCCAAAAGCTGGTATGCATCGAAATACTTCATCTTGATTCCAAATCACCTTAATAACCAAAAGACTCCATTTTCTTCGATTTGCTGTTGGAGATATCAAGTCTCCTTTTATAAACAACCTGATGAGCGGCGATTGCACCACCACTGTGAAAACGAGGCAGATGATGATGCAATGACAAGTAATCTTTCAGGGGAGCTCCTCCAGGACATCCCCATTGGTGGAGAAATCTGTGCAAGACTAGTTTTGTCCGGCTGAATTCTAAAGTTGATCTTGCCAGCAAAATTTTCATTTTTTACATCTAATTTGCCTTATTTCAAGATGGTGGTGCCTTATTTTAATATTAATTTGTTTTCATTTTTCTAAATGGCGAAGCTAGAGGTCACACAGGTCATGCTAAGCAAGGCCAAAAAAGAAGTATAGCATTGGAACCCATGTTATCTGGGCAATTTCCCGTGAGAAAAAAATTGAAAAAGTAAGCAAAGCTACTTGTTTATACTGCAATCTTCTTTCAACCATTATTGACTAGAGGTTGTTTTGTTTGTAAAAATAATACCACTATTTGTACTGGTAAGTACTATAGATCTGAATGAGGAAATAGGGAAGGGTTGTCAAAATTGCATTTACCTTGTTATGTACATGCTTTATATAATATGATGACCAACTCTCCAGAACTGGCTTTGCCACTGATTTCAAACCTATCTCATGCATTTTTTCAGATTCATTCATAGGAAATTACCCTCTTCGAACCTAGCACTGTCCCCTTACAAACAAAGGATGTGGTGTTATGATGAGGCAATTTCTGTAGCCATAATGGATAGCACTAAGATGTTTGGTTGGCATGAAGAGCTTCACAAGATACTATGCCCAAATGACCAGGTAACATTACCGAACAAACCAGGCATATAGAAACTCTGTTAGGAAGAAATAAAAAATGATATCAAAAGGCTTGAATTGATTGAAGAAGCCAAACGAAATTACTTTCTAAAAGCAGGGGAAGGCTCTCAAATCCTGAGACAAATGTGTTCATTCTGATAAACAGTTTCAAATAGCTTGAAATACCCAGATAAGACTCTTTCTTGTCAAATACACTGAGCTGATACATGGCTAAAACAAGGTTTGGACCAAATATAGAGCAATATTTGCCTTGTGGCATATAAGGAACACTGCAAACACTGATCAAAACCATTGAGATTGTCCAAACTACAGAGCAATGACAAGTATTTGGAGAAAAGGAATCATACCTAACTTTCACACGATAGTAGAAGAACCTTCAAAATTTTTTTCACTAGAGTTTTACTTCAGTAGAAGAACTACTTCACTAGAGTAAAACACAGTCAGTGTACGCGTGCCAATGTAAAAATATATTATTTTGCCCAAAGTACAGTCAGAAGCAGGCAAGAAGGTATTTTACTTTCAAGGAGCAGAAATTAAATGTGAATTTTAAGATTTAAGACTTTTTGTAAAAATCCATGTATATTTTGGACAGGTCCTTTATTGATAACAGCATGTTGTTGCTGATCAAAGATAACCTTAATAAATATGATATTATTATTATTATTATTATTATTATTATTATTATTATTACATATGGGTTTCAAGAGAACAATTCAAACACAGGACTTGTCGAAAAGTATCAACATCATAGCCTCAAAAAATTGAAAAAAGACCTGAAATTACTTAAGGATAGTCATGCTTCGTTAGACGAAATACGATACGTCTCCCGTCTCTTACGTAGCAAACTTGCTAAGAAGACATCTACTATCACTTCCTGCGAAACACTTGACCATGATCTTTCTATTTCTAAAAATTTCTGGGGTTATGTTAAACGCTTTCTACAAAAGAAACCTTCCCTTCTTCCATCGTTCTCGCTAGAGCGTTGCAAACAATTCTTTATAGAAACACTCTCTGCTAAGCATCCAAACAAACAGTTTCCCATTCCATCTTGGATTCCTTCCTTCAGTAATCCTACTCATCCTTTTCATTCAGATCCTCCTCCGTACCAAAAGATAACCTCCATTATCCGTCGCATGAAATCCTCTAGCTCTCCTTGTCCAATTGACAAAATATCAGTGATTTGCTTCAAACGCTGTCCTTATCTTCGCTCTTTCTTAACTGATTTGATTCGCTTAATCTGGTTATCTGGACATGTCCCATCGGAATGGAAAAAAGCTTGCACTATATTAATACACAAAAAAGGAGATACAGAGGATCCCTCAAACTTCAGACCTATCACTCTCCAATCGGTCCCACTAAAAATCTTCACATCTTGCCTCCGAGATTCTGTATTTGATTTTCTCAAACAAAATAGTTTCATAGAACATCAGATTCAAAAAGGTTTTACCCATCAGATATCGGGTACACTAGAACATACTGCGATGATGAGCCATATAATAGACAAAGCTCGAATAAAACAACGGTCTCTAGTCATAACATTATTGGATCTAAAAAATGCCTTCGGAGAGGTTCATCACAATCTAATCAAATCTGTTCTGTCTTATCACCACGTACCAGAAAACATCCAGTCCCTGATTTCTAGTCTCTACATAAATTTTAAAACCTCTATTATCACAGATAAATTTGTTACCCCTGCTATTCCTGTTAAACGTGGAGTTCTTCAAGGTGATTGCCTAAGTCCCCTTCTATTTAACATGTGCTTTAACACTTTCATTCAATACATAAAGGCAGAAAAATTCAAACAACTTGGTTTCTCTCCTCATAGCCAACCAGACTGTATGTTTACCCCAGAGCACTGGTTTCAGTTTGCAGACGATGCTGCAGTCATTACAAATGGGGAGAAAGAAAACCAGCTACTCTTAAACTGCTTTACAAGATGGTGTCAATGGTCTAACATGATTATAAGAGTAGACAAATGCACAACCTTTGGTATTAAAAAATTCTCAACACGCTCCCTACAATATCAGCCAAAGCTCTTCATCAATAATGAAATGGTCCCTCCTGTCATAACTGGAGAGTCTTTTAAGTATCTTGGGCGTCACTTCGACTTTAATATGAGCAACCAAGAACATATGTCTAAGCTCAGCTCCATCTTCACAGAACTCCTAACGCAAATTGATTCTTTACCTCTCCATCCAAAGAATAAGCTGCTTCTTTATAACAGCTATCTTCTCTCACAAGTTTCGTGGCACCTCACAGTAGCCGATCTATCAAAAACCTGGATCGTCGAAAACCTTGATAATCAAGTTTCTGCATTTATCCGCCGTTGGCTCGATTTACCCATAAGTGCTACTTTAAGTGGCATTATTCTGTCAAAAAACCAGTTCGGTCTTAACTTGATTCTTCCTTCTGTTAAATTCATGCAGTGTCAAACTGTTTGTCGTAATGCACTGAAATCCTCTCCCAACAAAAACATCCAATCTTTGTGGAAAAATACCAGCCAGAGCATGAACATCCAATATGATGTTTACAGGAATACTAGAGAAGTATTGAAGGCTGTTAGATCAGAACATAAAGAGCGCCTTCAAAACCATCTTGTATCTCAAGGTACCGTTCTTTCCTTCATCTTTGACCACTCTCTTCCTATAGCCTCTAAAATATGGACCACGGTTCAAAGCAACATGCCCAAGAACATTTACAGTTTTACTATCAAATATCTTAGCAACTCCCTTGCCACGCGAAAAACCTATCTAAATGGAACATTACTCAGTCGTCCGATTGCTCTTTTTGCCATATGCCAGAAACGTTACTTCACATTGTTGCAGGCTGCAAAACATACCTCGAAGAAGGCCGTTACACATGGCGCCATAACTCTGCATTGAACTTCCTAGCACAATCTTTAAAAGCTATACCTAATTGCTCTCTTTACGCAGATCTTTCAGGTTATCTCTCACCCTCTATCATAACAGGAGACTCTTTCCGTCCTGATCTACTTCTAGTCACTTCTGACCATCGACTATTCATACTCGAGCTTACAGTAGGATACGAAACTAACTTGGATGTTAATGCTAACCGCAAAAGAGAGAAATACTCGAATCTCATTCACAGCCTAAGCTCAGCCTATTCCTCTATCATGTTTGTTAATCTTTCTATCAGTTCCCTAGGTATCTTTGGTCTCTCTTGCTCCTCTTTCATCGACATGTGCAACGCTCTAGATATCAGCGAGAATCATCTCCGCTTCATGATCTCCAAACTATCCAACTTAACTATCCGTACTACCTATTACATTTTCTGCCGCAGAAATAAATCTTGGAATAATCCTGAACTTCTTCAGTTCTAACGATCTCTGCTACTGACGACTTCTAAAACAAACAATGACGAACATACTTTTTCCTTTTTTTTTTGTTAATTTCTTTTGTTTGTGCTTGTAATAGTCTTTTTCTTTGTAAACCCAGGCTAGCCAATTGCAAATTACCTTTGTAATAGTGAAATTTGTAATTGTAGTTTTAATTGAATTGAAAATGAAAAGTTTCCATTATCATTGAAACAAATGCAACAAGAAAACACAGCAAGTATGCTCCTCTCTTATCTGGTTTACCGAGGCAGTTCAAATGTGTCTCCTTTGTTAATCTTTCTATGAGCTCTCTTGGCATCTTCCGCAATTCCTGCAATTCATTCTTCAAAATGTGTGACTCTCTCTCCATCAATCAGCAACAGAAACGGTATCTCATTTCAAAACTTTCCGATATGCAATCCGTACTACGTACTACATATTTTGTTGCAAAAATAAGCCATGGACAAACCCGGAATTACATCCTTTTTAACTCTGGTTTCTTTTTAAGTTTTTCCTTTTACCTTATGATTGTCATAGTTTTTATCTTGTAAAACCAGGCTAGCCAATTGCAAATTACCTTGTAATAGGGAGATTTGTAATTGTAGTTTAAGTTGAATTGAAAATGAAATGTTTCCATTGTTTTCCTTCGAGTCCCCTTTAGCAAGCCCAAAGATACACTACAACAAATAAACATACCTCTCTAGAATTGATTACAAATAACTGCAAGGCCGCTTAAAGGGAATCTACAGATATGAAAGTGCCTTTGGCCATCTGTCAATCATAAATAACCTATCAAAAAGCTTGTTAGTCTCATTATACTCACTGATTGGCCAGTTGTTGATTGACTGATAGCTTCAACTACTTTGGCATCTATTGATTGCCTTTAAGATGTTAAATGAAAATTCACAAGGAGTGATTCAACACCATAATAAACTAATCCAGGGTAAGTGCATGGTTTTATCTTAATACATTTAAACAACAAATTTGACCAAAGAAATGAACAATGAAAATAAATTTTACGACTAGCATGGATTGACATTTACAAAGCAGTAGCTAAGAACAATGGAATATGAAGAGGAAATATGAAGTGAATTCCAAAGGAGAGAAGCTCCAAAGGAACCAATCTTTCAATTTCTTTTCTAAAAAACCTTTTCTACAGATCTTATAGCTACATACGCAGGTATTAAAAATCCAAACCCTCAGTTCCAGTTCTCAACTTTTGCACTGGAATGTAGCACGATCGATATGGCTTCCAGTATCTTTATTCAGTAGCTCACAAAGAAAGACCTGTCAATATACTTAAGAAGAGCTGAAGAGAAAAGAAGACTTGCATAGAAAGGAGCAATTTAAACAAAGTAGGCCATACACAAATTATCTTCATCTAATTTTCAATGAGCTTCTTTGAAATAAAGAATCTCCTTAGGTAGAAAATTTGCCATGCGGCAAGTCCAACTAGACAAAGCATTGAGAACACACTGAAGTACAGCACCCGTGCATTTGTTGATTCTGAAAAGAAATAAAAAGTTAACTATAGATTAGGTCTAGATCTAATTGTGAAGAAATTTCAGATATAAAAATACTTATTTTGTTCTACCAGTTGGTTTTATTACTGCAAGTTAGAAAATTACACAACAAGCAATAACAAGCAAGGTAGAATAAAAATAAAAAGGCAAGTTTATAGAATCAAAACTACATAAGTCAAAAATTCTTTAAAGCCCTGAGAAGCATATAAAACATCAGGTCAGAGCTTATAAAAAATGTTTCCCTTTAATAGAAAAATAAATTTTACATGAGTTGATAGACAAATTGCCAGAAGCAAGCAACCAATGGTTGGACAGAAATTTTTGAATGCAAATGTTTCACCAGGCCTGGCTGTTTGAGGAGAGCCATAGCTCTTGCTCCTCTCCAGGCTCTCCTCAAACGCTGGAGGGGAGCTACAGATTGCTCTCCTAAATTGTTTTAAAAAGCAAACTTGCTCTCCTTGAAATCAATTTTTCCTTTGTTTCTATTCTTATAGCTCACCTGAATACTACTAGGAGAGCTGTTTACTGCTCTCCTGTAAAAAGTTTTACGGCCAGGCCTGGTTTCACTAAACAATGAGGAAGTCGTATCAGAAGTAAGAGAAGGAGTTTTTTGACATGGAATGTTCTATCCCTATCAGAACAATCTATTGCCATCTTCCTCTGAAGACCAAAGAGCAAATAGTGAAACCAACTGCTGGCGAGTTAGACATTTAGCAAGCTAGACATTTGTATAGACATTCAGATTGCTTATTATGAAAAAATAAAAAACCGAAAAGTTATTACAAATTAAAAAGCCTGGCA